TTTCCTCACCAACAACAGGCTCGGCTAACCTTACCCCTAAGCAACCGGTGACGTTGATAGAATCAATCCTCTGCAATCGAATCGACCTTCCGAATCGACCAAGACTCCCGGCCTCGAATTGACACGACCCTCTTCCCGCGAACCTCTTCCCGGCGAAAAACCCTCTTCCTCCGGAAACGTACTCTCTTCCGCGAACGGTACCTCTTCCTCGGACGGAATCGAACGACAGCCTTACTATATCCACAGACGGACATATCACGAGATACCTTGCCAGTGACCATCCGAGAACGGAGAATTAGACACCTGTATTCTTACTTCTCACGGCGGCCACTAGTTTGGTTTTCTCCCGACTCGTCCATTGTTGGAGAGGCTGATCCTGATGTAGTATTTGAGGTCCCATACCATGTCCATATCCTATACAGACTGAGACTGATCGACACCTGCTACTGTTACACCCCTCCATTGATATCTAACTCCTCTCCAGAGGGAAACAACCAACACAACCAGAGTTCCTGTAAGTAATTGAGTTGCCACCAGTTGGATACTGTCTCAGCTTGTACTTTGGGTCCACTGAGCACAGTCTCCACCCTGAACAAGACATATTTCCAGGCTTGGCTGCATTTTGTGAGTTTTGACAGCCCCTCCCTTGGATATCCAACTCCTCTCCACAGGATCCTACCCCCACAAAAACAACTACAAAAGCTGCCCCTCTAGCGTGTTTGGCTAGATGTTGCAACACTTTATTGACACAGCCACCTCTATGCTACTGCACCGACTCTCCTACTGAGCTTAAGGAACTCCAAAGGATAGAGCCCCAGACAGAACTGCAGCGTGGTGTGGCATATATATTAATACATACCTGACTCTATCTCTCTCTCATTGATTGTTGAGTGACTCTCCAGTGACTTTCCACAGTTCCACCTGAATCGAGTACACTCCACATCTTGGCTTGAATCTCTGTTGCATTGATAGCATCTGTCACTACAACAGATTGATTACCAGCCTTTGAGACAACACAGTGTCATCCAGTAACACAGCCCCATCAACCAACAACACCCCTTGATTCCCCCACCACTGCCACTACTGGCTATAGCGTGACTTCTCCAGTTTTCCCTGAAGGAATCCCTAACAGCCTTTGCCTCTGATACCATCTTCTCCTGCAGGTAGTGGCATACCTGCACAAGACTTGGCCACAGCGGAGACTTCTTCTTGTGTTCAATTGCTTCCAACTTGGCCGTCGGCGGTCGAGAATAGAAAACCCGCCCGATCTCGTAGGATTTCAATTGGGATGGCTTTCTAATCTGAACCGGAGAAGGCCGCTTTGATAGTCGCTTGATAGAGGAGGTGCGCTTGATAGGAGATAGGAGGTATCGATCCTTTTCGTCTTGAATAGGTTGTAAAGAGAGGAAAAAGGGTGTATGTTTTCCGTGATGACGTTGAGTTGAATCCTATAGTTAAACAGTACTCTTCAACAAGATAACAGAAAACAGGCTTCCTGAGGTCCTTTCGCTTCGTTTCAATGCTTCTAATGGTGCTAATAGGTAGTGTAATGGTATAGGTATGACCGATTGGTTGTGTTTGTTGCTATTAGTGTTGTTGTTCTTGTAGTGACAGATCCAGAGGGGAAGCGCTTCGGTTTTCGGCTTCCCTTGAAAAAGTACGGCATACATACCTTGCGACCGGATGGACTTGTGGCGGACACCATGTGCGATTGTATGGGGATTGACACTGGATCCCATCATGAGAGTGATTTTGAGAGCACGGAAAGCTTGACCCGTGGCATTCTTCCAGTCCTTGACTCCAACCAGCTGGCAGAACTCCTTGCAGAAGTCACGATGACGATTGTGTCCGACGTTGCCTTTGGGGATTGGATTTTCCTCTCCGGGACAAGAGCGACAGAACCAAACATCGTACTCCTTGATCTCTCGCTGGGGTTTGTCCGGATTGTCCTTGTTCCATTGAATGTCTTGTTGCTTGAGCGACTCGTTCATTTTCTTCCTATCCTCAATGGGATAATTGTAAAAGTTGATGGTGCAATGGACTCGGGATGTTGCTTTGCCACGTAATCGGTACGCCATTCCCACGGATTGAAAGGACAGTGTTGGTATGATTCGAAGGTGATGACTTGCTCTTCATTTGGAGCGATTCGAGTGTTGCCAAAGTTCATTTGATGTGTCTTGTCTTCGGGAACAAAGATACCAGCCCAAGGAGTACCAGCAAGAGACCCTTGTTTGCTATCATGAACTCCTTCATGATGATGATCGAGGAGACATTCATGGTGTTCTCCTCCTCCCCGGAGACCAACCCATTTGCCACTGATGAAGTACTGAGACAGGAACTTGTGATACGCATTGTTGAAGTCCAATCTACCATCAAGAACTGCCTGGCATACAAGCTCAAAAAGATTTGTCACAACCCTCTTCTGGTTTGGCTGTGTTCCGTACTTCGGATCCTTCTTTCTGCGATCAGTCCACGCATCGATGACGATTCCATGAAACTCACCTGGACCATTGAAGTCCTTGTTGTACTTGTACAATATTCCTTTCTGATGGAAGATATTGAATAGTCCCTCTACAACATTCTTCTCCACCGAAGGTTGAAGGAATCCACCGGCATTCTTTCCTGACTTGCTTCGAAGAACCTGATGGAAGGTGATCATGAAAATGTTGAGAAGCTTCTGTTTTGTCCGTGTCTTTTCTCCGGCAAATGCATTGAAGAAAGCATAGTCAAGACAGTCGGGCGACTGGTCAAAGTCATTGTATGCGACTGGAACAACTTCCAAAAGAGGGGCGAAGAGTTCTCCTCCATACTCTCTCATTGCATCGAAGAATCGGGTCTCATAAGATTCCTTTCGCTTGACAGTCTTTCCCTGAATCAGTCCGCGTTTGGTACTCTTGATTTTCTTGGCTACCTTGGAATCAAAAGAGGCGTAGGCGCCTACGTGATTCAGTACTCCATTGATTTTGACAAGAAAGTCCTCCTGTGTCGATCGAAGTTCACTGTTGATTTGCAGTTGAGACAAGAAGGGAGTGTTCTTGCGAGTCTCATTCGGTGGTGCCTTTCTCTGAGCTTGAGTGGGAAGGGCAGTCTTTCGTCGAGGAGCAAAGTTTACTGGCTGCGACTTTTTGGCCTTTTTGTATGGATTGGTCCCCGTGGCGCGAGCAGTTGGTTGTTGCGAGTGAGTGGAGGGTTCCTTTTCTTGCCGGGGAACAAAGCATTCAAGATTTTTACCATCTTCTCCAAAAGCTTGATTTTGCCCTACCCATGCATCATCAAATGCTAGTTGAGCGAGTCGCGGATCAGTCTGGGCTTTGTCTTGTTTGTTGGATCTCTTCTTTTGGGCTTCTTCTCTCCGACGTTTGGCTCTCTCTACTTTTGGATCAGCCTTTGAGGATCCATCAAATTCAGCTTCTTCTCTGTTCTCAACAGAGTTCCAGTCTTCTACTCCATTCTCAAACTTCACTTGCTGCACAAGACGCTGGGAGGGATGAAATGGTTGACAAGCAGCTGTACCAAGCACCACAGCTTCTCCTTTCTCCACTTGCTCATTGACTGATTCGGCACGTGTCTTTCGTCTATCATCATTGACTGGTGGTTGAACAGAGAATACAGCCCCATACATTTGAGGTGACTTCTCGCGACTGGATTCTTCATCATCGGTGTCATCATCGTCGAGAATTTGGAGAGGTGTGGACTTGCGAGGCGATTCATTCTTCTCTCCTTCTTCTTCATCGGATGATTGAGACGCTTGGTACGTGTATTGGAATATTCCCTGAGGCTTGTCAGTCGCTGTCTCTTCTTCTTCACTTTCTTCTTCTTCTTCCACTGTCTCCATGGGTCGCTGAGTCAACTCCAACTCTCCATTCTCGGTGTCCTCTGCGATGCCGGCCAATTGCGAACAAAGGGATTTACCTTTGGTCTTGATCTTAGCAGCGCCACGGGTCACAACCATGGTGTCAACAATCAACCACCACCACCACGACGGCAGCAATTCTCACTGGTTACTCACTGGTTACTGTGGCGACAACCTCTTCCTATTGGTTGTCCAGAGTAAATGCTGCACCGGATATTGAGGCTGTGCTATGAGGGAGGCACAGTGTAACAATAAGCCAGTGCTGTTCTACAGGAGTGAAACGGAGTCGTTTGAAATGATTTGAATTACTTAACAACCACGTGTTACTTAACGGACACCGCTCTAAGTGACCAAAATAACCTACATAAATATCAAAATAACCGCCTTAATTACTGTCGGCACCGCCCATCGGTGTATTGCCTCTAATACACACCACCTCACTTATGGGACCTGCCCCCACGGTTTAACCATCGCTTCGCTCCGGTTAAACCTGGGGCCAACGGTCCCGATAAGTGAGAGGGTGTGTTTTTAGAAATTGTTGTCAGTGCTTTGCTGTTGTTGTCGAATCTTGGCCATTTCCTCCAAGGGCCGATAATGAAGAGGATCTCGTGTTACAGTAACCGGCCATGGCTGAGAAGCCGACCAGGCTGCCGCCAGAATGGGAGGCAACTGTTGCAGCATCTTGCTTCTGGCTGTTTCAATACCATACAGCCAGTCTAGATTGTTCTTACAACAATAGAAGATCAGGAGTTTGGGAAGCAACTGGTTGATTTAGCCGTTGTCAGAAAGATCCAAAGCCCCAACCTTAATGAGCATAAAAATGAGACCTCGGCTCCAATGACAACTCAAGGATCCGATTTTGTTGGTCTACGTCAGTGCCTGGATGGCAATGTGGCAATGTACGGTACAATGACATTGTATGTAATAACTTGAAGCAGGGAGGTCGTGAACGACAAAAGGATGATACCGAGTAAAAGTTCTGGTACCATCCGGCCAATCAGACTTCTCCAAGAAAGAGGAAAACTTTTGATGGAGGGAGGAAAAACTTTGCCGGCCCCTCCTGATCCCTTGATTTTTAAAGGCAAGTAACGTTGAGGTACTAACTAGTACATGCATGTAGATGAGCAGAATGATGAATCAGGAGTTTGAATCAAGTGTTTCTTATGTATTAGCTATCAAGATGGGAAGGTTGCTTGTTTAGGTTTAGCTTGGCTGGTGCATGAATGGGAAATGACGATGGAACACTGTTGGAACTTGGCTGGAGACAGGGTGCCTCCGTTTCAATCTACATAATCATCTGTATATATATATATATATATCGTGGCAATAGATAGACTACCGGAATTTTGAAGCATGGGCAGTCGTCGTGTACAAAATGAATTGCAAGAACAATGATGACCAATTCACATTTGAGAAATGATGAGCCTTTGAAAGTCTTCACCCGTAAAGGCTCGATTGCGTCCCTTTCGATGCCCTGACTGCCGTTGTTGTGTTGGGGGAGATTGATAGCTACCCCTGCGAAGATAAGGATAAGCGTCGCTAGGATTGCTCCCTTCATCGTTTAAGTCTTCTTGACGAGGATGCTTCCTCTGTTTCTTGCCGGGAGACGGCTGATTGCACAGTAGCGCATCATCATCATCTGATCGTTCCTCTTCGTCCCACGAGGAAGAGGAGTTGATTATTTGTTGTCCATCATGGGATGCATTGCTGTTGGTCCTCTTCCAGGAGTAGATGTACCCATGGTCTTCTAATGATGCCCGGCGTTCGCAATGATACGATGCCGAGAATGCTTCTTGTGGACTTCGCTTGCCAGATTCTACGACGGTAAGAGGGAACCCTGCGGGCTGTGAAAACAAAGCCCCATTGTGGGTCTGCGTCTGTGAGAAGTCAAACATGGCGAGGATGATGATATGTTACTGGGAATTTGTGTGTTGGTTGGAGCTCCGCAAAGGATAATGAAATTGTATTGAGGACGAAAGACGTTCCTGGTGTGATGCCGATTGATTGGGTCCGGTATGGAACAACCGAGTTTCCGAGAAAAAGTGGGAGGAGCACGATAGCTTCGGGTCGCGGTAGCTGTACCGGTACCGTAGCTTTGGTACTGACTCGTCACTCTGCTAGTACAGCAGCTGCCCTTGTTGTTAGATACTACCGGTACCACATCATCCATTTTCATTGAGGTTCCGATCGTTGGATCATGGTTGGCTCCCGCAGTTGCTCGTTTGGAGGTCCCGCGAATTTGCAGCTTCAAGGCAAATTGAGAGCACATTTGCTCCTTGGTGTTATCCGCTCCCGACCAGTGATTGACGACAGTATCGTTCTCTTCACAAAAGATCCAAAAGATCCAACGGCATGAGCACAAGAGGCAACAGGGAGCTGAAGAAGCGAACTCTCCAGTTCTAGTACGTTCTAACTACTAGCTAGCTAGAACGTCCTTCTAAATCCATTGCAATTGCTGGCTGGTAGTCTCCCAAAGCTACCCTACGAGCACGTTCATTCCCAGATTTTCTTTTCGTCTAAAAATAAGCAGCAAAACCCAAAACGAAAATAAAATAATATCATGTCCCCTTCCTTGGCCACCACCGTGGGAGGTGTTCCGTTGACGAGCTGTGTCTACAACGCTTCGGGTCCTCGCAGTGGTACCGCGGCTGCCTTGTCCAAAGTGTGTCAATCTCGATCGGGAGGTGTCTTGGCCAAGTCCGCTACCATCTTGAAACAAAATGGAAATCCACAGCCTCGCACATACCATGCTGGGAACAGCTTGGCTTCCTTTAACAGTGAAGGACTCCCCAACAATGGCATTGACTATTACATTGCCGCTGGCACAATTGAGGAATGCATGGCGTCGTGCGATGATGATAGCAAACCCTACATGGTGAGCATTTCCGGAAAGACGCTGGCGGACAATCTGGAAATGCTCAGTCGAATTGCCAAGGCTCCCAGTCTTTCCAAAATCAAAGCCGTAGAATTGAATTTGGCATGTCCCAATGTGATTGGAAAGCCCATTATTGCCTACGATTTTGAGCAAATGAAATCCATTTTGCAGGAAGTATCCTCTGCCATGAAAGACACTCCCCTGAAACTGGGGATTAAACTCCCACCCTACTTTGATGGCCCGCATTTCCAACAAGCGGCGGACATTCTCAATGAATTTGACGGTTCGATTGCCTACGTGGCTTCCATTAACACGCTGGGCAATTCCTTGGTCATCGATCCACACTCGGAGGCTCCCGTCATTTCCAGCAATCAAGGATTTGCCGGACTCTCGGGTCAAGCCGTCAAATACACGGCATTGGCCAATGTGCGCAAGTTGCGACTGGCATTAAAGGATTCGATTGATGTGGTGGGAGTGGGTGGTGTGGCATCCGGTCGCGATGCCTTTGAATTGATTCTTTGTGGAGCCACGGCCGTGCAGGTGGGGACCTGTCATTGGACCGAAGGACCCAAATGCTTTGATCGGATCTGCCAAGAATTGGAAGAACTCATGGAAAGCAAGGGATATCAGAGTATCGCGGACTTTAAGGGAAAACTCAAAGACTGGTCCCGAGAAGGAGCTGATATTGCCAGAGCTGCCGCCAAGAAGGAAGCATCATCGCAAGGTGGTACCGGTACCAAAGAATTGAAAAGTAGTGGCAGTGACAACAATACCAATCTGATTTTGGCCCTGTTGGTGGGTCTGCTGGCTATTCTGTTAGCTGACAAACTGTCCAATGGAGCGTTGTTGCCATTTTGAAAGGAGTGTTGTTCTGTTGGACAAACTCATCATATATTGGTCTGGTTGCAGTTGTCTGTGCATGTAATGTATTGATACCATTACACATTCGTTTCGAAGCTTGCTTTGTAGTAAATCTAGCTAGCTAGACGATTGAATCATACTTCACTGACAGTTGTCTTTGACAAAATTTCCCTAACGAGTTTGTACCGTACATGTACATGTACGGTACCAATAGCTACAATTATTTTTGTAAAAGCTATGTTTCTCTCTCTCCGAAGGTAATTTTCTCTCTCTTCACTGATGCATTGTCCATGTTTGCAACCCTCAAAGGGATTGGCTGACTCGACTCAAAACTAGCTACGGTAGTAGATTGTTTCTTCCTTTTGCTAAAGCTTGTCAAAGGAACAGTGATATGATCCATAATCAAAAATCAAGTCTATTGTTATTGTGTATTGTTGTAATTAAACACCAAAACTACTGCCGCATCCACAGGATTCTTCGGCATTGGGATTGAAGAATTTGAATCCTCCTCCAATGAGTTCATCTGAGTAATCCAGTTCCTTTAATAATTCATAAATAGATGGATAGAAGACATGAAAATGAATCGACAAGAAATAGAAAAGATGAGGCAAATGCAGTCCGCGTCATAATCACAGAAATTGTCATGATATGTTTTGTTTTGTGTGTTTGTACTTACCAATCCATACAAATACAGCATGCTCTTGGAATCGACCACACATTTGATGTTCTCTGCTTCATATTCGTCCACTTCGTCGTCTTCTTGAATGGCATCCTCTGTCGAAAAGTCCATTATGTAGCTCATCCCAGAGCAACCTCCCGACCTCACTCCCATGCGAAGCACCAGCGACTTGACTTCCTGTTTATCACGTAGCTCTCGAAGACGGTTCATGGCGTTGGGCTTGATGGTCACCACACTATCGTCAGGAATGTCATAATCAACTGGCAAATCTTCCTTAACCTCGGTGGAACTGAACAAGACCGATTGTCGCCTCTGCGCTAATTGCGGTTTGGCCACCTGAAATGAGGAGACGACACACGCCGTGTACGCTAACAATGCGGCAATAAGAAAGACCTTTGAAGTAGCCAGCATCTTGATAAGTTTGCTTGTATTGTATTCTTTGAGTTTCAGGAAGGAAGGCTACTAGTACTGGAAGTGAAGGCGACAACAATCCACAACACTGCCAACAACACAAATCAAATCGAGGGCTGGTTGGATTGGTTGCAGCGTCGTCGTTCTGCTGACGTGGCAGCTCGTACAAAACTGCGTAGGATTCGACGAGGCTCCAGCTCCCACTTTTGGCACACCCTCTTCGTGCTGCCCACGATCCCATCCCACGCTATCAAATACCGGTACGGAAGGGTCTCGTCACTCATCTTGGACAAGTTGCGTGCAATTGCTCCTCCCCGACTGTCACTAAGCTAGCAAGACACGCTGTGAATATTGCGCCGGTACTTTGGCTGCTCTCTGAGACGTTCTTTTGCCACTGACCCCCATGCCGGTAACTGGACTACCGGTACGATGCAGCGCAAACCGTTTGATGGTTGCTGCAGGACGACGGAATTCATGATACGGCACTAGCACAAATTACACTACGGTACTGTTGATGGTTCATGTGTTGCTAGTCGGCGTGCTAAATGAGGTTCTACAGTATGGAATGCCCTTCCTATACATTCATAATCAGGACGAGGCTGTCCTCCTCGACCGAAGAGGTTCATAAGCGAGTTGGCTACCTGTTACAGTTGACCGGGATGATAGAAGCAACGACACCTTTACTTGCACAAGAGCATAAGGAATCGTACAAGAGCTAGGAAGCTTCAAGGTTGTATCGTCTCTGCCATTGCCTCGTTGTAGTTTGATAGAGGCAGCAGCGAAGGTTTGGAGGAGAACAAGTGGAAGATAGTGTCCAGATCATCACCATGCTGATGAGATGTGAGAATGGGTAGAATATCCTCGGAACAAGAAATATTGTTGTCTTGTCTTAGAAGCTGGCGAACGCCAGATCGATTCAGCTTCAGGAGACGATCGAGGGCTTCATTGGTATCGGGGTAGTACAAGTGTTGGCCCACTCGAACCCAAATCTCAATGCGTTCAATGAAACAATTACGCTCCAGCATTTGGATCAATGCCTGGTGACCGTGCTCGGTGAGACTCAAGGGGGGCAACGAGAGGCTCTTTAGAGTTTCGCTGTGTTGAACCACTTGGGCGATGGCCCTTACAATTGCATTGTCAAGTGTGCAGGTCTCTTCTGGAGCTCTGTAATCGACTCGAAAGCTTTCCAATGACGCCATGATTGGGGCCATCCGGGAAAGAGCCGTGCTAACGCCCTCGCTGGTTGTATTGTCAAATGTCACATCCAGGGTCTTCAGACGCTGCATTTGTTGGAGCACCGAAACCAACAGGTCCGCGTTTTGAGACTCTTTCATGTCAAGTTTGCAGAGTCGTAACGTTGCAAGTTGAATTGGCTGATGGTACAAAAGAGGCTCTAGGAAAAGTAGACTGTTCTTGTACACCAAAAGACTCCGCAGCTCCGAAAGTTGACATATAGCGTTTGCTAGCCGCTTTTGCTCTGCTTGTGATAGGTTTTCCATGGCATCAATGTGCACAGCGACTTCCCGCACTTGAACTGTTCTCGATTCCATAGCCATGATGAGGCTGTCAATGTTCACGTCGCCAATCTCATCGTCCAACTCCAACCTCAAAAAGTCTTGGCTATTGCTGGAGCTTAACTTATTGGCAATCTCCTCAATCGCGCAGGAGCTGAAAGAGGAGTCGTCGTCTTCGTTGTTGTCGTCGCTGCAGAAAGAATGATGATAAGAGGCAAAGTCTTCATCTGTTTCATAGCGATCAAATGATCTACTACTAGATCGTGCGGTGCTCAGGTGTCTGACATGGCTCGACGACGAGAATTCCTCATTGTCATCTTGGCTCTGATAATGATCTCGCTCCATGGTTTCGAGCCATGACTTCCTATTTTATGACTGGGTAAGAGACTGAGAGTCGTGAGTATGGCGTTGGATTCAAAGCTCTTCATGTGATAGTTGATGGGGGAAACCTTTGGGCGTGCACCTTGAGGAGCGCTCACACTCTTGTTTCCAAGTGGTGTTTGGGTTGAGAGGTGCGCACTTGGACATCCCAAGAACCACTGAATGTCGAAGCCGAGGTGAGTCAAGCCGCAGCTGTATCTTGCTGCAGGCAGTCATTGCCAAGATAGGACAAAACCATGGCCACTCTTTGAAGCGGGCGTCATTGGCGTTTTGCAACGATGCGATCGATGGTATTCAATCTTCAATCCCCGGTTCGACTTACCTTTCCGTTCCGAGAGCCCTCAGTGCCCCTCAACCCTTATGGACATCTTCTTTGGTCTCGCACCTGGACAAAACGCCTCTGCCATGATGATTGAATTACGTATTCAATCATTCGACTGATAAGTGTCTCGGCGGCACATTCTCGTCCATTGCCTGCAATGATCTTCAACCCTTCGATTGATTCGATTCGATTCGAATAGATCCGATTCGATTCAATCGAGGTTCGACGGCACGACTAACTCGACTGAATGAGTCGAGTGACTCGACTCAGTCGACTCAGCCACCGTCAACTCCCACCAAAAAAATGAAACTGACCGAGGAAACGTGCACAAACCTCGAACTTGAGGCGGCAACAAAAACCACACGTTTCGCTCTCTCTAGAAAGGAAAGCAACGACCACAAATCAACCAACAGCCACACAAACAAATACAAGGTTGAACAGAAAACAAACTAATGGATACTACAGAACTAGAAGCAAGCGCAAAACCACAGGAAACTAGCAACACAGAACCACAAACGAGCGCAGCATCAACAATGAATTCTACGAAACCAACGAAGAGATATACGGAAGCCGAAACGAGCAATAGCGCCAATACAAAAATGAGCAGCATTAAATCAAACAAGAACGGCGGACTGGGCGATGAAACGCCATCATCATTAGCATCTCAGCTCTCATTTTATTCCTACAAGTATCCTCCAGAGCTTGATTCTGCAGTGGTGGTACAGGTAGAACGTGTCGACGACGCCGGGCTTTTTGGGGTCCTCACTGATTGGGGCGGGGCAAATCACTGCACCGCCTACCTTCCCATCGGTTCAATCGGCAAAGAAAAGGGTCGAGGCGAACGAAAGGCCCAACAACACTTTTTGACGAAGGCACGGCGTAGTCTGAAGCACCGAGGGCATGGGAGCGGCATGCCATTTGTTGCTTTCGTGCAATCGATCGACCACGCGAGTCGAAGCGGAGTCGCAGATGGGAGCGCATTTGATATAGATCAAGAGCTCTATCACGTTACGGTGACTCGCCGTGGTGTCACAGACGAGATCGAAAAGGCCACGTTGGATCTTTCGAGAGATGTCCAGCAATGCGGTCTGCATTTGGTGGATAAGGCTGCTGCCCTGGCAAAAGTTTCCAGACGTTGGGCACGGCAAGTCACCATGCATGCTGCGTATGAGCGCGCGAACGCTTCAGCCGCGGAGGGAGATGAAGAAGACGAAGAAGAAGCACATCCGGAGAAGGCTCCCGTTGTTTTCCTCGTCGATACGATCGGTTCACTGGCTGCGGACGTCTCCGTACAGACGGTCGTTGATCTTTTGGGTAGTTCTGACACCAATGAGGAGAGGATTGAGCTTTTCGCGTCCCGTCTTTTGTCTCTCTGTCGGAACGAAAAGCAGCGCCGGTCGCAACCAGTGTCCATTTCCGTGACAGCTTACATTGGGGGCCCGACGGTTTTGCTTCAGAGGGAAGGCGGCTTGACTCCAGGTTCATTCGACACGAGTCATCTGATGTCATCGTTCCAGTCTGATTGCGGGCCGCCCCCGCCTGACGGCTGTGATCCCGTTTCTGTTCGAGCTCGCGGCAACGGAAAGTACACATTGTCTACCAATGCCCCGCCTGAGTGTGAGACCACGGCTAAGGAATACCTCAGCTCCTTTGCGGCTCATCTCCAAGCAGAATGGCTCAAGTCGGCTCAATCTCCTGATGCTTCAGAGTCAGCCCAAGAGACCCAGCCAACCCAACGAAAAGCTTCAGTCAAGACAGCCCCCTCTGCTCCCACGCTGTCAATGCAGCCATCTCTGAATATTGGCGTGATTGGTGATGTGGCCAACGGCAAGTCCACTTTGGTCAAGGCTATCTCGGGCAAGCGCACCCAAGCACACAGCAGTGAGCAACAGAAGCATGGTATCACGATTCGTCTTGGGTTTGCAAACGCTGCCGTGCTCCAGTGCCAAAATGAGACTGGTGCTTGTGGCGCCTATTCCTTCCTGCCCGAATCTGAGGACTCTGGCGATGCGTCTCGGCTGCCAGTGTGTGAGAAATGTGGTCATTTCACGAAGGTGGTCGCTCGATTTTCATTGATTGACTGCCCCGGCCATGCGGAGCTAATGGCGACTATGTTGGCAGGGGCCAGTGCGTTTGATGCTGTCATCTTGGCAGCGGCCGCAAACGTTCCTTGTCCCACCCCTCAGGCTAGGCAGCACTTGGAAGCCATCAAACTCTCGGGAGCCATGGACGGAAATAAAGGCCAAGAAATACCGTCGATTGCCATTGCCCAGACCAAGGCAGAACTCTTGGCTGACGAGAAGAAGAATGCTGTTAGCAGGCTTTCCCCAGAAGAGCGACTGGAACTCCACGCGCAGCAAGGACGCGACAACCTCGTGGGCACGGCGGCACGAAATGCTCCCATCTTCCCTGTTTGTGCCCCCGCGGGGTTGGGTCTGGAGGCGATTGCCGAATGGATTGCGCATATCCCATCACCGAAAGCGCCCAACAATGAAGAAGGGGCAGTTTCACCTCATTTGAATGTTCTTCGCTCGTTCGATATCAACCCCGCAAACACTTTGGCTGGAGAAGCCAAGGGCGGGGTTCTTGGCGGAACCATATTGGGCGGTGGTCATTCTATTTCCATTGATGACATCCTCGAAGTTCGCCCTGGGCCTTGTCTGAACAGCAGAAACGGCAAAGGAGGCAATAAGGTCCCTGCAGCATCCTCGAAATGTAAGAAGACAGCTGGGAGTACCAAGAAAAAGCCCGTCGCCAGTTCCGGTCCCAGTGACCCTTTTCAGGTCCAGCCGCTCCACTTTCGTTGCACTTCGCTCATGACAGGAAAGAGCCCACTATCGATTGCGGGCAGTGGTGGTCTGATCGCGGTTGGGACAAGTCTAGACCCTGCGGTCTGTGCTGACAATAAAATGGTGGGTGCTGTGGTCGGTCCTCCTGGGACTTTACCTCCTGTTTGGGGCCCTTCCCTCTACTGCGGTCAGTTCGAGTTTGTGGCATTGGTCCCAGACTTTGGTCACAAGAACGACAACACGGTCAAGCCTTCCGATTTGCTTGTCAAGAGTGCCCCCGTGCGTTGCCACATTGGCTCGTCCTCTATCAATGGGCACGTGGCGCGAATTTCCAAGAGCCATAGGAAGCTGGAGCTTTGCTTGGATGGTCCTGTCTGTGCGGCGAAAGGAGCCAATGTGGCCATTGAAGCCAAAGGCAACAATGGGTTCGTCTTGGTCGCCCATGCTAAGCTGTTTGGTGGGGATCTGGTTCTCGAAGGAGAGGAATTGGAAGACAAGAAAGCGCTGGCTGACCCCGACTGTGGAGAGCAGGATGAGAAGTTGCCCGACGTGCACCTGCTCGTTGACAGCGACAAAGAGCACCGAACGCGATTCCTTGACGAATTGCAGAATCGCAACGAAGAGGCCGTCGTTGCCGGTGGGGCTTCACGTGTTTCTGTTCCTCTGCCCGATATTGCCCGTGATGGTGGAGCACACGTTTTGCTCTCGAACTTTGGATTGATGGCCCACGCCTTGCGACGAGATCCGAATCATTTGATGGGCTACCTGCAAAAGGAAGGTGGGCTGTCTTGTGTCTTGGCAGGAGAGAGGTCTTCTCCAGCAACCACGGCCCTTCGTGTTCGGTGGAGGGGAGGGCGGAACTTTGCAGAACGGTTCACTTCTATCATGCGTAAATACATCAAAGCCTATGTGACCTGTCAGGAGTGTCGTTCCGCTGTCACCGAACTGAACGCGTCGAAGAACGAGATACTCTGCCGCCGTTGCAATGCGCGACGCTTTGTTGCCAAACTATGATGATGTGGTGGGTGGAAAGTAAATGTTAGCTAATCAGCTATGTAGTCTAGTGCCATACTGTGAAGATGAGGCGGTGGGAAAGTAAATGTTAGCTAATCAGCTATGTAGTGCGATGGCGGAATTATGTTTTGGCTAATCGTTCGGCGCGGCTCTGTTACGGTCGGTGTGTGGTGCAACCCTCCAAGCGTAACTTTCTCGTGTGTTTGTCGTCTGTGCAATCGTTTCTCTTGCTTCGGAGGTACCGGTACATGTATACAGTACTGTCGTTTCTCTTGTTTCGGAGGTACCGGTACAGCACGGTGCGATAAGATACCGGGACAACATGCGAAAACGAGGCAACGCAATCGGGAGGTGGCTCGTCTGAATGCTTCATTGTGTTTAGAAATACAGTTTATATAATATTATCACCCAAGCTCTCTCTTGAACATCCGGTAGGATGATGGGCAATCATGGTCCGGTGCTATTCTAACGTTTGCATTTTGTTCTTGTGGGTGTTGCTGAGTTGCGTGTTATTCACCATCCAGGTGCTTTTACCTGACGGCTCGTGCCTCCACTTGAGGAATGGCCACCTTCTTCTTGTCGTCATCTTCATCGGATTCTTCATCAGTATCCAGCTCAGCCTTGGCCACAGGAGTGCTGCTTCTTTGGTACAGGAAGTATCCAACTGCACCAACAAGAGCCAATGCCACCACTCCTCCTACAATTCCGCCAATTGGAAGACCTCCGCCTTCTGATGATTTCGTTTTGCCCATGGACGAAGCAGTTTGGACAATGGCCACCTCGGAAGTTTCCACAAGACCATCCACATCCCATTCATGCTCCTCAATGGCGACCTCCACCTTGGCAATAGCGCTTTCAGGGAAGTCGCCAACAAAGTAAACATCGACGGGTACATCACTAGCCAAGCAGACAGTTCCATCTTGAGTAGCTTCCTTGGCAAGAGAAGAGTCGCAGCCTATGAAACAGAGATGGATTGAACCAGAGAAAGTGAGTTAGAGTGATTTCGCGAAGGTTTTACAAGACAGCTGGCATGGTTGTACGCACCCGTATGATCGAATTCCAATTCTCCAAAGTCAACATGCACAATTTTGGTCGATTCCTCGTCCGACAAACGTCGACCACTGGAGCAACTAGCAATTCGAGGAGCAACCTTTTGTTGCAATTCCTTCTCCATGGCAGCGTAGATGTCGCTCATCTTGGAGTCGGCGTCCTTCAGCACATCAAAATTGACGGAAAAGGAAACAGAGTCAACATCGGTCGGTCCTTCATCATTAGCAATTGCCTCACAGTCAACGTTGACAGTGTCGAATTCAGAACTGGTACCAGTGGATCCAAATGCAGGATCGCTGATGGTGGACGAGCCGCCTTCGCCTTCGCGGTCTTCCCATTCCAAACATTCTGCTTCCTCTGATCTGGCAATCTCCTTATCTGCTTCCTTGGCCTTGGGATCTTCCTTGGCCTTGGGATCTTCTTCCTTGGCCTTGGGATCTGTAGCCTTAGAATCTTTTGTGGCCTTGGGAGCAGGAGTTGCTTTAGGTGCAGGAGTTACCTTGGGTTCTGGTGTTTCGCCATCCCTGGCTTCAGCGGTTGCCTTGGGGTCATGTTCCTTGTACTTTTTGCATTTCTTGTCGTCGAGTAGATTACGCTTTGTGGCTCCTAGTTTCTTTGCTGAGTCCAGCCGTTGCTTATTGCCACGCACTCCCTTCAACGAAGATGCTCCCTTCAAAGCATCCGCCATCGAAACGACGCAGATCAGAAGGGCGGTAATAGTCAAGAGGGATCTCATGGTGATGGAGTCTATTAATAGAAGTTTTGTTTGGTCGCTGGGTTGCTTGATTATGAGATCGTTTTGGTTTTGTGCGAATGGAAGAGGAGAGAGGGACTTCCCCTCAAAGATCGAGTTGGGTTGAGCGAACTGCTGATCGCATGATTGAAGTCGCTTACGGGTACGGCCACTGTTACGACAACACGCAGGTCCCGTTCTTCTATCAGTTGGATTCGGTATTATCACCGGTGGGCATGCCTTGGTGTCACACTCTGTGTAGGTATCCAAGAGCGGCTCTGCGCACTGACGCTTGGCCAGATTTTGCCGGTATCATCGCTAACGTGAAGAAAATGTGAGAGCAGATTTTTGCGAAGGTACGGTCTAGTTATTTTTGGCTGTGACCTAAGTATCTTTGTAAGTGATGTACCGTTGGAAAATAGCTGAAGTGGCTCTCTGATCTAACGGGCATGAAAAAAGCAGCCAAAAAGAGTTCTGCATCGTGCACCTCTTCTCTCTTTTCGAAAGCGGTACAGAGTACTTAGTACTGTAGAGGATACTGTAGAAGCACACAGAACGATTTGGATCCAAGACTGCACGTCAATGATGACTTCACTCCCATGAATGCGAAAGATCGTCGCAGACTGTGGAAATTTTGGAACCCGGTTTCAACCCTCGGTTGGTATTTACTGCAGTAAATCCGGGTTACTGGCTCCTTACTGTCCAATTACTGCCATTGTTGGCCCCCTAGTTACTGCAGTAAGTAATCCCATGCAGTAAGTAATCGGGCTATGCAACCGTAATATCCAGGACCGTCCGACGGTTTTCGATAAGGATTTAAAAACCTTGAATTTTCCACGACTGACAACATCCTCTTAAACATCCTCTTAACATCCTCTCAACATCCTCTTAAATCTTCAACTTCCTCTTAAACATCCTTTCAAAAATACATCCTCTTAACAACATCCTCTTAAAGCTTCGAAACATCCTCTTAAGCCTTCATTGAAACACCATAGAACTTCCTCTTATCACGAATGAACATCCTCTTAAATAAACATCCTCTTAACAACATCCTCTTAAATACTCAACATCCTCTTAAACATCCTCTTAAATCTTCACATCCTCTTACATCCGCTTAACGCGAACCAGGATTTTGAGTCAGTCGTGGCAGTTTTAAAAGCCTGAGAGAAAACCGTGGAACGGTCCAGTAAATGACATTAAAAGCACAGTAATTAGCCTCTATTACTGCAATTACTGTAGTTTACTGCCTTCAATTGGCTCTAAATTACTGTGTATGATTACTGCTACTGAGGAATTACTGCATTACTGCCATTACTGCTCCTTTTACTGACCTCATGGCAGTAAGGAATAAACAGTAAATACCAACCAAGGCCCTCTGCAAAGCAAGATCTGTGCCTGCGACCAGCATTATCATCTGGTGTTGTTCTTCAATCCCATCCATCCGAAGCAGAAGCAAGTCAAGATCAAAACGGCACAGATCCTGAGGCAAAGGTGCTCTGAATCGAGCCAATGGAGTCCCAACCCTTTTCCAGCTGCTTTTAACCTGACTTATCGCTACCTCGAGTTTGCAACAGTGGTGCTTTGTTTGACCGTGCAATCGATGGACTTGGCCAGTGTTCGGCCCAGCGAGATAATTATGGAAGATGGCTGAGTACCATGGTACCGACTTTGGATTTCCTCACGAAGAAGCAACAGAAAAAATGCTGCAAACTATCGATGCATCTACTTCGATGAATTTTCTGCTTTAGTTGGAGTCTTACTCAGTGATCTGAATATGTGGCTGCCGACCATGCGTGTTAACGTGCCGTACCGGTCGCAACCTCCGATCTGGTTTGGCTCGAGAGCAGTGATACCTTTTTGCGGAGGGAAGCCACGAGCAGCTCCAAAAGCATTTGGCTCCGCTGGCTAGCCTTTGGATGGAATGAATCAATTATTGCCTAATAAGCTTGTTCGACATTTTCAGAACAGCCCGTTGCAGAAATCGATTTCACTTCCAAATGCACCTTTCCGGCCACACCTTCAGCCCAAATCGAGATAGTCTTCATGTTCTTCAGGGTCTTTTCATCTTGTAAAGTAGGAGCCAACAGTTTCAATAAAACTTTAGATGGCAGCGTCAAGGTGCAACATTTGTATCTCCACCAGCACTTACCTGGACAGTATTCTGCGTGCTCTTTGCACGTCTTGATCTGTTCACCCGTAGCGTCATCCCAAAGGTCCGAGAATTCATTGAACCTGATTTCCACTTCGTTGAACTGACGAGGTTCTTCCGCGTCATGTGGAACTTTGAGACCGGCCTTGTAACCGTATGCGAAGAACTTCCCATTAGGAGGATGAGCATTGCCGAAGCTTACGCGGTACCCGTCGTAATTGACCGAAGACCTTAACGTGAGCTTCAGCGCCTGGCAAGATGATACATCGGCGTATGGTTTCCTGCCTCGAGATTGTACTTTAATGAATCCAGGGGCGTGGAGAAAGGGTACATCAACTACTTCTCCGTCAAAGATACCCACGCCGTCCTCAATCTTGAAGGTTCCTGTAGACTTGCCGCCCATGACTGGATCATTCATCTTTGGTTGCAGCGAAGCGTAAGGATGAAATCATAAGGAAGCCAAAAACACTACTAGAAGGATTTCACGTACCTGCTTCCAATGATGAGCTGGTTCATCAAAAGACTCGAGAAGAATATCACCTGCATTGGCGGGAATTGCCATGGCTGCAGCCAAGAACGCAATAAACATTTGCGAAAGAATCGTCATCGTTTACAAGTACTTGGTGTTTGTTCGAAAATAAAAGTAGCAGAACTCTAGCTTGCCGTTCCTCCCAAGTCCAAAACTTGATGCAATGGGATTGATGCCTACAGTACCACGCGTCGATATCAACAGTCTTCGAATGAACGCGGCGACTTCATCGTTTCCCTTGTTTGCTATTCTCTTTGTGTCTGGTCTGTTTGGGCACTTGTCATTTTCTTCTTTTGACTGACGTCACTATTTGAAGCGCTTTTTAACAAATAACTCAGCAGAGCGGATTTAACCGATATAAAAGCACCTCCTTTTCCACGGTGCGTACTGGTACCGCTACCACGCAGTACTAGTACATGTACTGCTCTGGTAGCGGCACGGCCTGTAGGCCCGCAGGTACGTGGTATCGGATAGACTAGTGGCATGCACGGGTAGTCCCAGGTACAAGCTAGTACCGGTACTGTATGTGGCTTGCCGCATGGTTTGTGGTCACGGTTGGCAGAGGGGATAGGTTCGTCCCCACTTTACGTCGGCTGGTACGAGACTTGGTAGTTTTAGATGGCTCTGCGAGCTACAGTGGACTTTTGACTGTCGGAGCTTCCTCGCAAATTTCGGAAACAAAAGCTTATTGCGACAGTGTCATGGACCTGGAAGCTATCTCTTGGATCAGTAATTCCACCCTCGCCGAAAATGGACGAGCCGTTTCCACCACTGGTTGCCTAGCGTTTAATTTACCGCCCAAATGGCACTAGAATGAAACCAGGTAGTTGGGTAAGTTGTCGGGTTTTGAAAGTACGGTATCGGGTTCGTCCTAGCTAGACGAAAGAGCCCCATTGTGGCCTCTCAACCCAGGCCTTCGCAACGTTTCTGACCAATATTCGGCGTTGGTGAACGTCAAGCACACAAAGGACTTATCATGAACAGATCCTCCACCACTTCTGTTTGCAACCAGTCTTTGACCTGATTCGTCCTGCTCTTTCAGCCTTTCCTGCAGATGCGTGATAAGCCAATACACACTGACCCCAGGAAGTCTAGTGCCCCAAGTATTTCAGATGCTTGCGCTCTCTTTTGTCATGTAATGCGATCTAATCAGCAATTTGCAACGGTTGTCGTCTCACAAGCGTGTAGCTCCCCACAACAATTTCTTGTTGACTTCATACATGGTGGCGTTGCCCCGAGCTAGCGAGCGCTTGCATTGTTTTGTGTCCCTTGTTCTCCTTGTTGGCCTCTCTGAAATGCCAATCCAGCATTAATCAGATGCCACGGGGATACACTCCACGGCAAGAGCAGCTTTACCAACCGTAGCACTCTCCCGATCTCCCTCTGGTACTCGCTACGCTCCTCCATCCACACAAGTGTGACTTGTTGGCTTGTTCAATACCCGGGTAGCTGTGTTCATCCCTGCGTACGACTGTCAAAAGCTCCGTAATGCTCCATCTCCGGTGCTTCCAAAAGGCCTGGCCCACAAAGAGATGCTTGCTCCACGAAGAGATGCTTGGATTGTCCCTCCGAGCCGTTCTTTGTTTTTGCCACCAACGGATGTTGGTCTTTTTTCACCCTGAGACCTTAGCTTCTCTTTTGCATAAGCTGAATACCAAGCCGAATGCAATCGCCATGAGTGAAACGTTTTGTTCAAATCCATTGTAGATGGCATGTGGCCACGGCGCCGGCACTCATAGTGAAACTGCGTGATGGAATGAACTTTTCTTCTCCGTCAGGAATTCTGGCTTGTGTTGAAGGCTTCTAACGTAGCATGGTTTCTCCGCGTCAAACTTTATCCACACCGCCATGGCGAACGAGGAACCCGATACTCGAAGTCCGTATGCCTAGGGAGAGGGTGCGGAGACATGGCTTTCAGCTTAAAAAGAGGATACCCATCTCTTCAACTTCGCTTGGAAACAAAGGAGAAGAAACTGCCCATCTCCAGCGAAATCTTTGGAGGCAGTGAAGGATACTGTTCCTGGCGAGCCTATTTGTGGGTACCCAGCTCACGGAAGAGAAGGTTTGCCAAGCCAACAATCACCAATCTCTGCCCCTGGATTGGGTGGTCAGCCTCATGCCTTTATTTGCAGCCCCAAAGAGTTGCCCAAATTGCAGCGCAAACGCCCAAGCTTTGGCTCTCCAAGGCAGCCATTTTGCTAAAGAAACCATCCAAAGTTGTCTTGTCCTGGTGTGGTCAAAGATGATTGCCAACTAGTTTCTGCCACTCCAATGTATCAAATAAATCAGGTTTGCCAGCCCAGGTCCGCAACATCTCAATTCCTTACTTTTTGCAACCAGGCACCAAAATGAAAGGTTTCTCCCCCAGAACCTGCAGGTTGCGTGAAAATGAAGCACCCATAATGTGAACTCCTACTATTGGGCATCACTTCATGCTCTTCTGGTGCCGTACTGTGTTGGGCCAACACTCCATCTCCGCAGCCATGCAACCACACACCTATCAGCAGCCTGTAAAAGTCCAGGTAGGCGGGTAGTTGGGTCCAGTAGTGTGAGGCCCTTCGCCTTTGCCTTTGGTTATGCTGTATGCAGTGCGAAAGCTCCAACCTTGATCTGACGTCTGCATGACTTTTTGCCACACAGGTGCAGCAATATATCTTTGATTGGACTGGTACCCAAAGCAGAGGAAATATTTAGGATACCGTTTCCGTACAGCAATTGTACAGTAATCCCCCCCATACCGGTATTGGTGGAAGCGTGATGAAGCCATCTTTTGACCAGTAGTACCGATAGTGTTATGGGTGTTGCAGAGGATAAAGTCGAGATGAAGGTGTTCCTGCTGCCTCAATCAACCCATCTTCTCTTCGTGTTGGCCTCTTCAGTAGCATGGAAGCACTGTCGCCTTCTTCATGGCAACTTCCTTTGGCTCTGTTGATAGAGTTTTTGATAATGTGAGCCTCAAAGTTCGTCCTCTTGTGGTCTGTTTTGGGACGCACTTTTTCAACCTCTGGAAGGCTCTGGCAATTGAGATCTTCAACTGACCTTGATCCTCTCTGGAAGAGATCTTTCTGTGGCGCTTCCAAGGACGAGGGATATGTTTGACTTGCACTTCTTCATCAGAAAAATGCAACGGATTCAAATGAGATACCCTTGAAGTTTGACGGAAAACAAGTCAGTTTCAGAAAGAGGCCACCCGTCATCATTCAAAGATATGGACCTCGGTGTTCCACGCCAAGTCTTCCTTGCCCCGATTTGACCCTCCCTATATTGTTTTTGTCCTGTCCTTATCACCTCCCCGCGTTCAGACGTCCTGATTTGTTAAACCGGTACTATCTATCTGAAATCGAGGAAGGGTTGTTCTTCTGATCCTCATTCACCTCTGGGGCCTCTTCCGTGTCGGATGCCGACGGATGCCGAACGACGTTGGAAACAGCATCGCTGCGCGTTGGGATAGACGAAGAGGCCGCAGTCCTCTGTTGCGGCAGACCAAAAGCAAGTGGAGATGCCGACGGCAGAGTTTGGGGAAAGCTCCAATTGTAGAGACCGCCTGCGAGAGCCTGTTGTTGGCGATGCCATTCTATTTGCTGTTGCTGCTGCATTAAGGCCATGCGTTGCTGAGGGTCCAGTGAACCTTGCATCAGGAGAGGAGCACGCACGGACGAGAGAGTAGCGCCCCCGGTAGCAACACCATGTCTTTGCTGCTGTGGTACACCGGGCCTGCTACTTGAGCCAGCTCTATTCATTGTGGAAGATTGGTTAGACTCATACACTGCCTCCGTTGGCCGCGACGGGCCCTTGTCGGATGCTTGACCACCTGGGTTGGCATCAAGATCAAGTTGCCTTACTACTTCGGTTGCATTGCTGTCCCTCTTCATTCGCTCGACTAAATGTGGTTTATCTTTCTGGAAGAGCAAGTGGTGGTATCCTCTGTCTTTCTCCTTTAGAGACGCGTGAGAAATCCGTCGAAACCCCCTACAAAAGGCAACAAAACAGAAGAGGCGGTCAGAAAGATCTTGCACCACACAAGGAACGATAGCCATGCTGATCAGAAGAAACAAGTGTCAATTTACCATCTGTTTAAGTTGCGAACCAAACTGCTATACTTCATGCCGCGGAAGTGCTCATTGAGCACCTGCTCAATGCGACTGGCGTTGATCCCAATTGCTTCACCTCCCTGAAGAAACCATATTGCATCGGGATTGACATTTTTCTGGAGGAGCGTCATTAGTTGTGAAGGAAAAGACATGGTTGCAAAGCTTCTGGTTGGCACAGCAACAGGTGCTGCACGCGGTTTGGTCTCTTCCGCTGGAGGGTCATCATCCGCCAACACTCTTGTCGCCTCCGCCTGCTCTTCCCCTGCCCCTTCAGAACCTTTGGATTTCTTGTCTGCTGCAACTTCTTCAGGTGGCAACTTAGAATCCTTTTCGTCGCCCGGGTGCTGTGCACCATCCAGCTCAACTGCCGCGCCCTCGTCGGAAGGTTGCCGACGAGCCCGCTTTGGAGGGTGCTCTTCTAAGCAAACAACAACAAACAAGATGATGAGAGGTACATTCCTCCAGAGCTGCATGATCCGATGAGCACCTCATCTTTGTGTTCAGGTATCCGGGCCATCCCTTCAGGTGGCATATGGTCGAAAAAACGAGAGACGAGCCCACACAGTTTCGCACCCGCCTGGGCACAACCACAGCGGATACAACCCCATTGCCCATGGTAATGATGCGGACTTGTTCTCACCTTTCTCCTGCTTATCGCTATACGGCTGTGGTTCTTCACGTGTACCTTGATCGGACGGCGATTTGCCCTCACCTTTGCCGCTTGGCTGAAAATCACCTGCCCGCTTCATGCCGATTCGTCTTGACGGAATGTGTTTGCAAGGTTATCTCTTGTCTAGACAAAAAGGTATGGTGTTGTTGCAATCTGGAGAGGTGCCGTTTCCTATGGTCCCAAGGATGGATTGACTATTTCGGCATGTTTGTGATCAGCAGACTTTTCCACAAAATCGAATGTTGGGTAATACGACTTGTACGGTTGTAGAGGCAAGGAAAGGACAAGAGAACGGTGCCAAAGTGACGACTAGATCTACCCTTAATAGCAACAATAGCTCCTCTTTTCAAATACATGTGCCTGCACTTTGCCTGATACAGGCCAGACCACCCTTTACAGTAACCCGAAGAGGTAATTGAGCTGCTGTAGAGTTAAGGTTGTGGCAAACGGTTTTCCCCTTTCCACCTTTTAGTTATGTGGTCGTATTATAATGTCCGTGGGTCCAGACCGTCCAATTACTTAATACTTTCATTCCAGACTATGTTCCTTTCGGTCTTCCAAAAAGCCAGGACAATTTTGAGAATAAATCGTTGTTCCCGAAGCCAGTTTTGAATTTTCAGGTTCGTGGGGTAAACTTGATTCTTAATAGTACTAGTAATCAAAAATTTAAAGTAAGTTAATACTTTAACCCAATATTTACCTGAACTACCCGACTGTAAGTGTCAGCTTGGTTCTGTTCAAGATGTCCAGAAAAGGAGTTTCCAACAGCTTTTCCAACACTGAACAGCTCCTGCCTCTGTTCTGGACATTCTTGACCAATCTCCACGAAACTGATATTCAAATCAAGGTCACTTGAAGTACTGTAGACCTAAAATGGCCTCACCGTGGAACGTGGAAAGCTCTAGAAGAAAAAGCTTCAGTCAGATCCTCCTCTCAAGCAACAAAGGAAAAAGTAAGGACATGAGATTGATTTTCACAATCTACCAAGCGTGTTTGATCATCTAAGATTGGCACTGCGGAGCGCGTGGTTGTGTTTACCACGCTGAATGAATCACTAGCTGAGGGTCTAGCTAGAGAGACAGATTCGATTCATGATCAGGGCCTTTGGTACCTTTAAAGCTGGGGATGCTGGTACATACATGTAGGAAGGATACAAGTAGGTTAGGATGTAACGGTTACTGGGCAACTAAAAGAGGATGAGCATAATATCATTGGTGTATAATGTATGTAGCGTGGGATTGTAGCGTGGAACGATTGAACATTCGTGACCTTGTTGTGATGGGGACCCGGGCAATGGCATCTTCGCATCTTCATCATCGGAAGATGCCAGCCTGGGAAAAGCTGACGTAAGGGCAATGTGATTTATTTGTCGAGCAGGTTGTTTAATGGGAGCCAAGTAATGAACACAAAATGTCCTGATGACACGGGGTTTGAGTCGCCCCCGTTAACCAGTTAAATTATATTACGTACTTCTTCAACACCACTTTCCCACCTGTCCCCGCCCAAACCTTGAATTCGGAACCGGATGCCCACCATTCTTGGACCATCTCTAATCGTCGGCTTCATCGAAAGACTTTGTCAATACTTCCCTCCTCATAGTCACACTCAGAATGAGTACAAAGCTTGGGCACGCACGCAGCATTCTCTTTCCTCTAGTCTTAGTTTTAGGGTGCAAGAATTGGTTGAGCAGCATCCAAACAACCAGCATCCAACCATTTGGGATGCCTTTAAAGCATCAAAGGCTCTATTAATAGGCCTGCACTTGTCATTCCCCGATTGATTTGTCTGTGGTAGCCATAACTGCGGATACTATGGAGCTACCAAGCAGTACTTTTCAGTCGATTTGTGACCGGTAGATCATGATTGCAAACTTTCGGCACCGGTATGTGCCGGTTTTGCTGTCAATCTAGGCATCTGGGCAACCTGAGCTGGCAGCTTGCTTTTTACCGTCATTGAGCCATTCTCATGTCTCCTCATGACGCAGCTGCACTAGTCTAGTCGAGAGGTCGAGTTTCCTTGTTTGGCTGGCTGGATCTTTTGGCTCCTACTGAAGGCGGAGCAATGAGGTCCGGGATGTAGAAAGCAACTAGCTAGAGTAACTAGCTTTGTCTTCTGACCCTACCGGTATGGTTCCTAGAATGATTCAATCTACCTTATCCAAGAAGCTAGCTACACATCTTTCTGGCTGGTACCCTACACTTTTTTGTATCGAATTTCCACCACTCCTTTTGCACGCCAAGGTGCTTCTTGTCCGCGCTGGTACTGGCGAAAGTCTTGATAGCACGAAGCAAACTTGGCCATGCAATTATTGAGTGGAATTTCCTTGTGCAAGTAGGAATCCGCATAGTTTGCCAGTTCTGGTAGCATCATGAAGCTGTTGCGAAACTCTTCCAGGTGAGGAAAGAGTCGATCCTCCGGTTTGACATCGGGACGACTTTGAAAATTGACCGCTGTAGTTTGCTCTTTTCCCTCTTTGGCCCAGAGTGGAATTCCAAAGGTACGGCAGAGCCCTTCATATTGGTCCAACATTTCCCACAGATGAAAGTCAGGGGCTGTAAACGACCCTGGAATCAAATGCGCAATCCCTTCTTTGGCTTGTTCACTGGTCTTCTTCTTGGGACCATTCTCCTCTTTGGGTTGCATCTTTTGGAAGTAGTCCGGGTATTGCTTGGCCAGATGCGCTTCAAACTTGTGAAAGTGTGCCTTGGCCCGATTCCACAACTCGAGAGCCTCGTCTTTGCTCCCATCCGAGTGGTAGGAGAATTGGATGAGCTTGTTGCGTAGATCCATGACTTCACAGAGCATTTCGTCAATTTTCGCCTGTTCCGCCACATCATCCTTGTTGCCCATCATGTTCAATTCTCGACCCAGGTGGTTAAAGATGGCATTGGTTTGCGCAATGACTAGATTGGAAGAAGAATCGATGAGAAACGGTAGATTCATAAAGCCATTGTATTCTTCGCGGAGCCATTTTTTATCCGCAGCGTAGGATTTCATTTCAAAGCCGGAATCGGCATCCGGGGCATCGGTCAAGTCATACAAGGCGACCTCATGATTGACTTGCGCTGCATGGAGCATGGCTCGAATTGGGGCACCCAGACCTCGAATGGACCAGTACGCAACGAGAAAACGAGGAGCCTGTTCGTTTTTGTCGTCGCCGTCATTATCAAAGCTGATCTTGAGCAGAGTGTCGGGCTTTAGACGATCTCGAATGGATGCCATCTTTAGCTTTTTGGCTTCACTAGTAGGACTACTCTCCGCCATAGTTAGACTAGCTAGTCCTTTATCCAGGTTTTGGTTTTGTGTTACTAAAAATGAGGGGCTACGTACGTTTAGAAGAAATGAGAGGCCAAAAGCAAAATGATGAAAAGATCTAAAGATCCATCTTTTGGCCGTTAGGGTTTGAACTACAATAAGTAGCATTATTATTGCGATAAATAGACAACAACCACAACAGCGAAGTTGCATCTTGTATGAAGATACGGTATGTAAAGACGGAATTCAATCGAGGAAAAGGCAAGAAGAATGAGTGACTACTACGGCGATTCTGGCGAGGAGAGTTCGGGGTATTCCTACAAGGATTTTGCCATTTACCAGTTCTCGGACGTCGATGAGGATGATTCCGATGTGGAAGGTCGTCCCAAACCGACTGGTGGTTTGGACAATCATGACGACGACAACGACAACGACGAAGATGCCTTGTGGAACAACTGGGGCGATTACGATAATGAATCCTACGTGATGCATGCCCAGTCCGACAATGAAGAATTTGATCTCTATCAATTTTCGGACGAGGACTTGATTCCAGAAGAACCAGACGAAGACTGGATCGTTGCAGCCTTGATGAACAACCGCAGAGACTTTGATCACTTGGAATTGATTCTCCCACAAATGGAAGACTTTGCACGGTTCATTCGAGCCTTGGAGAGGAACCAAGTGATCAAGAGCGTCACAATCTACGAGGCATTCTTTGATGCCATTCCCAACAAAGAAGAAAAGGAGATGCTGGCCGAAACAGTCTGCAATATTTCCAGCTTGGAAACTCTCAAAGTGTACTACCACAGCAGTCACTTTGTCGAGCCCTTGGATCGAATACGGCCGTCCGGGCTCAAGAATCTTTGTCTCATGTTCTTCCCAGAGAAACCGGACAACACCACGCTGACATTATTGACACGCTTGTTAAAGGGTGACAATACTAGTACATGTACCACCACAACGGAGCAGGATGACACTTCTGGTGGAACAACAATAACAACCACAATAAACACACCACCGGCACTCCCCTTGACATTAGAATCACTGAGTTTGCGATGTGACGTTATGGACGATGCCTTCATTGAATCCATTGCTCTTGGAATGAGAGTGAATCCATCCGTCACAACCTTGAGTTTTTGGGGCAACAATGTGCATGTGACAGAGGAAGGGGCCCTCAACAGCAGCAAGATTGATTTCTACTTGAGACTCAACCAATGTGCCATCCGAGACATGCATCTCTACGTGAACGCGGAGCCAACTGAATTTCTGGACAAGATTGTCAGTGAACGAGAAAGCACGGACCTTGTGTTTTATCTGCTACAAACGAATCCGTCTTTCTTGTCATACTTGAAAGTGTAGTTGAGGACGGCGACGCTTTCTTGATTGACGGCAGATAGTATGAATGGAATCGAATCTATCCATGGTGGCCCTGCCGAAGTGAAAAAACAACAGCACCACTGTACCATAGCGACAGTTGAGTCACTACACCATCTTGGACTAATCACTAGATAGAACAAGTATGCAATACTGGTACCACGATGAAGACGGTTCAGGACTATCTGCGCAACAATGTTAGCACTCCCATTGTTCACACGGTGTATAGTGCCACGCATTTTGGAGCAGACAAACGCAATCACATACACAGCAAAACTCTATGAAAGGTCCAAAGCTTATAGTGGATTATTGTTGTGCCTGCCTGTAGTGGCTGTGGCTTTCAAACATTGTCGCTTG